CAATAGGCTGGTCTGAAACCCCATCTCTACTAAAAATACAAAAATTAGCCAGGTGTGATGGCGCAGGCCTGTAATCCCAGCTACTCAGGAGGCCAAGACAAGAGAATCGCTTGAACCTGGGACGCGGAGGTTGCAATGAGCCAAGATCACACCTCTGCACTCCAGCGTGAGCAACAGAGCGAGACCCTGTCTCAAAAGAAAAAGAAAACTGCCCCACCCATTCATGTATGTACCGCCCATGGCTGCTGCATGCTGCAGCACAGAGTCAAGCAGCTTTGATGAAAATTGCAGGGTTCACAAAGCCTGAACTCTTTACCATCTGTCCCTTTCCAGAAAAAGTTTGCTAGCCCCTGCTGTAGGCTGCCATCCAAGGCAGGTGAATCGCTTGAGCCCAGGAGTTCAAGACCAGCTGGGGCAACATAGCAAAACCTTGTCTCTATTTTAAAAAATGCAAAAACTTAGCCAAGCATGGTGGTGCATACCTGTAATCCCAGCTACTCAAGTGGCTGAGGCAGGAGGATCACTTGAGCCCTGGAGGTCAAGGTTGCAGTAAGCCATGATTGCACCACTGCACTCCAGCCTGAGTTACAGAATGAGACCCTGCCTCAGAAAAACAAAACAAAAAAGCTTATACTTTTCTATTATATTCATTCCGAAAGCTTTGAAGCCTTCTATCTCCTTCCGCAAAGGGATGAAACTTTGTTGGTCTGACTCTCTAATCTTTAGTTGGATCCCAGAAGTTAGTGGCCTAAATTCATTTCCTATGACAGGCTACCAGGTACCCTCCATTCTGGGCAAAATGGTCTCTAGGCTGCCCCCATGATGGCATTCAAATACCTTCATCTGGTTCGTTGTTCTTGTCCAGCAAGCTCTCCCCTTTTGCTGCAATCTAAACCCTCCTCATCCTTCACTCCAAATCCCCATCTCCCCAGCCAAGAAGGTTTCCCTGCTTTGCCAAATGTTTTCCCAGGTGTATTCTATGGAACAAAAATCCCAAGAGAAATCCTTGGGCTGGGTGCGGTGGCTCACACCCGAACTTTGGGAGGCCTAGGCGGGCAGATCACCGGAGGTCAGGAGTTCAAGACCAAACTGGCCAACAAGACAAAAGCCCGTCTCTACTAAAAATACAAAAATTACCTGGGCGTGGTGGTGTGCATCTGTAATCCCAGCTATTTGGGAGGCTGAGGCAGGAGAATCACTGGAACCCAGAAGGCGGAGGCTGTAGTGAGCCGAGATCGCGCCATGCACTCCAGCCTGGGTAACAGAGCAAGACTCCATTCTATCCTCTCTTGGAGGCCTAATACACATAGGTAGCATATTAAAGGCTCTGAGAAGTCCTGCAGTAAAGATGCCTGTTTCCTTTGCTTAGTTCAACTCTTCCCAAACTTATTAACCATAGAATTTGCTTTGTCCACAGAACACTTATTAACTACCAGCATTAAGTACAGTGCCTGGATGTCAGGATTTGTTGAAAGAATGAAAAATGCTAACATCCCAGACTTAGGGTTCTACAGAACATACTTTGGAAATGTTATTCAAGCTCCTCCTCCTCTCTCTCTAATCTGAACTGCTCCCTTCCGTGCCATCTAGTCAACACCATCTAATGCCAATCGTTATCATCATCACAGCTGTCATTCATTAACACCTGCAGCCACTCTGTTCCAGATAGTGCTAGACCCTTGAAAACATTATCTCTTTCGATCTTATAACCACCCTCTGAAGCAGGGAATATTATTTAATTATTGCTGTTTTGCCAAAAACTTAAAACTATAAATCAGAAAACTTAAATCACCAGCCCAAGATAAAGTAAAAAGAAAAGATAGAATTTACAACTATATCAGTCTGACTCAAAGTTCATGAACTTTCTTTTCCACCAAAATATCTTCTGATAATGTGCCATGGCTGCCATCGCTGGCTGTCCACTTACTTAGTATCTACCTTTGCCTCCTTCCACACTAGCAGAGCCCTGATTTTGCATGGAGTGGCAACATGTCATTTCAGGCAATGGATCATGATCCATCTAAGCCGATCATGGTGGTGTTCCCACTTCCCCACCTCCGGGCTCCCTTGCAGCTAGGACTCAGTTCTGGCCAAGAAGATATAATCAAATCATCTGCAAGGTGAGGAGGAAGAGATGTCCTGGGGAACCCTTTATTCCTTCACACTCACCAGGTCCTCCTCTTTGCTACCTTGAACCCAGATGTAATTGCTGAAGCTGCAGGAACCATCTTGCAACCACAAGAGAAAAGCCATGAGAATTCCCAAAGACATCAGCCCTGGTATTACTGACCTACTGAGCCAACCGAAGCAGCTATATGTCTCCAGAATTCTTGTTACATGAAGAGAAACCATTATTTGCCTTACCGCTGTGACTGGGTTTTCCATTTCATGCAGCTGAACAAAAACAGGCCTAATGGGCCCACACGTTGTCCCCCATATTATTTACCACTTGGACTTTATCATTATTTCACATACACATTATTCTGTCATGAAGTATGCGTCCTGAAGGCCAAGTCCACCTTGCCTATTTTTGTTTCTACAGAAGTGTATACATGCTATTAAATGCTGTTCATTATCACCCTTTTCAGGGATCATCTATTCAATTTATTACTTGCATTCGTGTTAGCAAGCAGTGAGTTCTCACCATTAAATAGCTGAAATATCATATCTTTCTCCTAATGGATTAGCATCTCAAAGTGTCCATTTGAAAACATGTGTCAGAAATACCTGGACTGTTTATTACACGCAGATTTCTTGGCCCTCTCGCTAAACCCAGCTAAATTAGAATCTCTAGGGTTAGAGAAGCTGAGAATCTGCATTTTAACAAGCACCCTCATATGGTTCTGATATACAAAATTAGAAAATTCCGTGCACCCAAATGTTAGGATTGGCTGGACTCGTCTGGACCCTGAGTTACCAGCCCCTCTGCAGGGACCCTCCCTAACCCTACAAATCTGGGAAATAGAAATTGGAATCATTGCTCAAGACCATTCCCTGGGCAAGATGGATGAAAGTGGTTGGCATGCTCTGTAGCATACTGGGACGAGGGAACTGAAAACAGATGCATTTCCTACAACTGCAACTCCCCCATAGCCATCCTACCAGTGCCTCCATCCCCCCAGTTTAAAAGGAAAACCACTATGCAGAAAGAAGGCAATGCCCACTGCGGCACATCACCATCCAGGAAGCTATCAGAGGATGGAGCATGTTTGAAACAGAAAAAGAAAAAAGAAAAAGAAAACTTCGAAGAAACTTACACAGGGATACACAAACTAGCATTTGGGACTCCTGACTCAGAGGAACAGAAGAGAGCTCTGATGGCTTTTTTGGGGTTATGTATTGACTGCATGCAGGTCTGAAGAGTCTGCTCTTGGGTAATGTTCAGGCAGAGACAGAAGGCTGGATCCTACACTTTTTCTTCCAACAGCAGAGCTCTGGCCTCACCTGCTCTCCCAAGCTCCAGGAAAGGCAATACCTGTGCCTCCCAACACAATTCCCACTCTCCCGATACACCTTGACATTGATCTTATTTCGTCTCTGAGGATCACATTTCCAGATGACAGGTGCACACAGACATGCATCCTAGGGTAGCAAACAGCATTCTCTCTCTCTCTCTCTCTCTCTCTCTCTTTCTCTCTCTCCTTTTGAAGGGATGACCTCCTGCATGTTGACATCCAGCCAAATTTAAAATCACGGAAGAAAAAGAAAGACCCAAAGTGAATCCAAGAAAAGCACCTATCCAGGCTAGAACAGGGGCAGGAGGGCTACAAGATTCACTAGGGACTGACGAGTTCAGGCCTTGGGAACTCATGTGCCAGAAGCAAGATGAACGTCTCAGTACTGCTCATGCCCACTCCACCATAGGGGGAACCCCTCTTCTCCCAGCCCCACTGCCCCCACCCTTGGTGGATGCCAGCTAATGGAAGTTCTGAAATTTAATCAACCCATGTGTATAGCTGGGTTGGTTTGAGAGAAGGAAGTGAGTTGAACCCTTCAAACATTTTGAACAATGCAGATGTCCAATGATCTCATGAACACCAGGCATTTGGCAGTTCCTAAGGCTCTTTAAACCTTCCTCCTTTGACCAAATGGCCTTCAGAAAAAACTAATTTCTGCCATCTTCTTTCTGAGTAACTTTGCATCCATCCCTCATCCCATCCCACTCCCCCAAAAAACTGTTTCAAACTCCCCCTCAAGTTCTGCCGGAGAGAATGTTACAAGAAGCCAAAGATAACTCCTCCTCCCCGACCCCTTTCCTCTTTCCTCGCAGCCCCACTGAGATTCAGGAGTATTCTCCTACACCACCTATGTGTGCTGATTGAGGCATATTTTTTTTTTACTTTTATACGTTTTAGGCCTGCAACAGCTCACTGCATCAAAACGATTGGATTGGAAATGGGTAGCTCCATAGGGATTTTTTCTCATGCATCTTGCCTCCTGACATGTATATCACTGATTTAAAAAAAAAAAAAAAAATCTAAGGAGCAAAAGGAGGGCGGGGAAGAAGGCCAAGAGAAGAAGAGGTCTACAATGCCAGGCGGCCCCATTCTGCGAGCAAAAACCACCTTTTGACCACCTGCAGAATGCGCAAGGTCACGTGGGTTCTCTGCAGCTCCTTAATGTATTACCCGGCACACAAGCCCCCGTGGCATATAAACAAATCCACAAGCGGAAAAAAGAGAGAACTCCCTCCTCAGCCGGGAAGCGAATGATAACGGTAACAGCCGCAACAATAATAATAAATAAAGAATAACAATTACTACTACTACTACCACCACCCAGCCAAGCGCAGACGACAGCAGCACAGTAAAAGGATATCCAATGCAGGCTGTGCAAGGAGAGAAATCACAGAAAAGCAAACCGTGCCCACCTTGCTTGCCCGCACCATCACCCCCAGCCCCCAATAAACAGAGTCAGAGGGAAAGGGGACCGTGGGGAGAAAGGAGGGGGAAAGAAGGATTGCTTTTTTTTTTTTTTTTTTTTCTGTAGGCAACACCTACCTCCAGGGTCCGGATTTCTTTTTGTGTGAGGTCGTTGGAGGTAGCACATTTGGTCCTAAGACCTTCCAGGTTGGAGATGCTCAAGTCTATCATGTTTTGGACCAGTTCGCACTGCTGTAAGGCTTTTTGCAAACTCAGAGGCTGCTGCTCCTCGCTTTTCGTCATGTTTTCCTCATCCATCGCTTGCTCTGCAACCCCCTTCCCCTCCTCCTCCTCCCAGAGAGAAAAAAGGGGGGGGGGGGAGTAGAGGTAGTCTACCCCTCCGCCTCTCCAACCACTGCGACTTCTCAACAATGTCTCATGAAGAAGAAATCCAACATCTCACACAGGGTTGAGGGGGTGGGAGTGGGAGGAGGGGACAAGAGCCAAAATTTATTATTTTATTTTGGGGTATCAAGCGGACTCCATTAGAATGTCTCCTCTCTGAGTCTCTGGTCCCTGAAAAGGAGAGATGCTGTTTCTCAGAAGCAAACCAGGTGATGTGATGCTGTCTGTATACTTAGGGAGGAGGAGGAGGAGGAAAAAGAGGAGGAGAAGGAGGAGAGAGAGGAGGAGGGAGAGGAGGAGGAGGGAGAGGAGGAGAAGGAAAATAGCGCTCACTCTTTACACACCGGCTCCTTGAAGGACAAAATTATATATTTTTGGCTGGCTTGCTTTTATGTCAAAAAAAATCTGGTTTGCCCCCCTCCCAGTTGCAGGGACACGGCATGGTCCACGGTTTGGAAGTGCTTTAGCGCGTTCTCAAGGTGCTGTCTGCATTGCTCCCGCGGCTGCGGCGGCTACTGCGGCTGGCTGCTGTCTCCTCCCCGCGCTGCTGCTGCTGCTGCTGCCGCCGCCAGGCTCCGGGGGTGACGGTTGCTGCAATAGCTCCTGCCTCGCTCCACACCGACATCTTGCCTGTCAATCAAAGGGCGGGGGGGAGCGAGGGAGCGCCGGAGAGGGATGGAGAGCGAGCGAGGGACCTGCAGGGGAGCGGGTTGGTGGAGAGGCGCCGTGCGCGCAGCC